AGCCATATTCACAGTCTACCAGCTGCTCATATGCCTTGTGGTTGATTTACTAAAGACAAATAGACTCTGTACTTTGCAAGTGCAATTGCACTCATTTGTCCCAGAGATTAGTGAATGTGGTAAAGCTCTGCTGATCTCCATCACCCAACCATGTGCAAGCAAAAATGCTGTTTTTTTTTTTTTTTACATTTTCTTTGCACCCGATTGGGTACTTTTTACAAAGTAAAGCTTCATTACATTCACAATGCTCTGGAGAAAATGAGTGCAACTGCACTTGCAAAGTGCACAGTCATTTGCCTTTAGTAACTCAACCCCTATGTCTTAATCCATGAGGGGCAAATGAAAGGTCTTTGAAAAATAGAACCACTAGAAATCTCAGACAATTCAAAAACGGATTTCCTATTTAATTCTTAATTGTTATAGCTACTGCACACAAACTATATTTTTATGTATTTATCTTAACAACTTAAGGTCTGCCCTATAGCAGTATCACTGCTACTGGGTGACCCTCCTGTGCAAAATCACATATATAAACATGATTTTGCACTTCCACCATAGGGGAGCATGTGTGCGCTGCCGGTGGATTGCTTCTGCTGTGAACACTCACAGCAGAAGCTGATCTGCGAGTGCACGGAACAGATGTGCGCCGGCATTCGCCGATCGTTGGGCAGGACACAGAACAATGTAAACAAGGCAGAGCTCTGTTCTGACGGGGAGGGCGGTAGTGAAGGACTCTTTGTCCCTGAAAAGCTGGGAACACAATCCCTCACTTCTTTTAGTAAAAACACCACCTAGTGTACACCAAGCACATAGCTAGGCACAAAGTTTACCCTTTGATCACCCTATATGTTTAACCCCTTCCCAGCCAGTGTCATTAGTACAGTGTCAGTGCCTATTTTTAACACTGGACACTTTATCACTATCTGACAAAGTGTCAGATAGTGTAAAAAAGCCCACCGCAATATCGCAGTCCCCCTATAAGTTGCTGATTGATGCCATTACTAGCATTAAACATTTAAAAAAAATTACAGTATATGTTCCATAGTTTGTAGATGTTATAACTTTTGCGCAAACTAATCAATATATGCTTACGGAGATTTTTGCAACCAAAATTATATAGCAGAATACATTATGGCCTAAATTTATAAAGAAATCAGATTTTTACATTTTTTTTGCATATGTTTTATAGCAGAAAATAAAAAATGTTTTTTTTTTTTTTCAAAATTGTCAGTCTTTTTTGTTTATAATGCAAAAAGTAAAAAATGCAGAGGTGATCAAATGCCACCTTTATTTGTGGGGAAAAAAATTACATACATGTATTTTATGTACAGTGTTGCATGATCGTGCAATTGTCAGTTAAAGTAATTCAGCGCCGTATCACAAAACATGGCCTGATCAAGAAGGGGGGGGGGGGGGGGGGGGGGGGGGGGGGGTAAACCCTCCGGAGGTCAAGTGGTTAATTTGTTATCATTTAAAGTCTGTTTGCAACGTGCAATATTATAAAGTATTATAAAAATCATATACAACATGTGGAGCCACAGTATGCTGGAAGCTTACCTTATGTGTTTTCTAAAATGTTTTCTTTTTGTCATAAGGTGCTATTATAACCTAACAACTCACTGGAGGTGTTGGAGTAGGGGCAGAAACATCACACAACACTTTATAAATACGCCTAAGCAAAATAGCTTAGCTGGGTTCATATTCAGTGCAAAAACAGTGATTTATAAAGCTATATGACGGTCAGGTTTTCTACGATGAGTGTTTAAAGACCGACCTGTACAACTTCAGATTGTTAATACCGGGATGAGCAAACATTTTTACAGTAATGCGAAATGTGTGATTTCATTCCAATTTCATCTTTGTAGAGTCCTTTACTATAGACTCTATATCTATATTAAATAGATTTGAAATCATTTTACCGAGCCACATTGCATACTATAAGGAGCTTATCATCTGGGTAGGGTTAATGGAATAAATTCTAATCTCCTAGCAACCCTGAAGAGATCATTTACTAAGCCTTGAAGTGACCATTTTCAGCTAAAAATGCAGCTCACTTAATATTCTTAAGAAAAACAGGAATTGGCAACAGGTAAAAGGAGTGGCAACATTCAGTTTGTAATGAAATCAGTTTCATGTAAAGGAAACTATGTTATATTTAGTAACTTTTTTATGTTTCTGTTAGTTATTTTTGAAAAGACAAATATGAAGTTATGCATACAATGTGTTTAAAATTGACTATTACATAATCTAAATTTTTAGAACTTCTCATTGGAGTTATGTATAGAAGGAGCAGAGAATGTTATGTATGCAAAGGGGATGGTCACTTAGTTAAGGGAATGTGTTTAGTAAATAATTGCTGCACAAACTGTTGGTGCTATATAACCTGAAATTGTGTTCTGTTTTGTATTTTCCCTTACATTTGATTAGGTATTCATTATGAACATAGGTTCGCCATATTCACTAAGCTAATAAAAATGATCTACCTCTTTAATTAATCAACTCTCTTTCTTGATCTATAACTATTTAGCTATGTATATCTGTGTATGTTTTATTCATAGATATATAATGCACATTGGCAAAACAGATACATACTGTATACCAGGGGTATTGAATTAAAATTCAAGGAGGTCTGATCACTAAAATTTTCTTCTGGCTGAGGGCCGAATAGGGTGTGCCCATCAGCGTGCCCCTTTACATTAGGTGTCGCCATCAGAGTGCAACTTTACATCATGTATTCCCATCACATCAGGTGTGCCCATCAGAGTGCTCTTTAACATCAGTTGCCCCCATCAGAGTGCCCCTTTACATCAGGTATCCCCATCACATTGCCACCTTACATCAGGTATTCCCATCAGAGTGCCCCCTTACACTCAAAGTACCCCTTCCTATCATATTTCCCCATCAGAGTGCCCCTTTCCTACACATGTGCCCATCAGGGTGCCCCTTTCTACAGTATGTGCTCATTTGTGCCCCCTTAACATAAAATGGGCCCATCAGAGTGCCCCTTAACATAAAATGTGCCCATCAGCATGCCCCTTAACATAAAATGTGCTCATCAGAGTGCCCTTCAACATAAAATGTTCTCATCAGAGTGCCCCTTAACATAAAATGTGCCCATCAGCATGCCCCTTAACATAAAATGTGCTCATCAGAGTGCCCTTCAACATAAAATGTGCTCATCAGAGTGCCCTTCAACATAAAATGTGCCCATCAGAGTGCCCCTTAACATAAAATGTTCTCATCAGAGTGCCCCTTAACATAAAATGTGCCCATCAGAGTGCCCCTTAACATAAAATGTGCCCATCACAGTGCCCCTTAACATAAAATGTGCTCATCAGAGTGCCCCTTAACATAAAATAATGGACATGCTGATGGGCACATGTTATGTTAAGGGACACTCTGATGGGTACATGCTATGTTGTGCTTATAACAATGCCAAGGTTAAACGCTCATTAACTTTAGGGGGTGAGGAATAAAGTGTAATACTTACCTAATATACCAGTCACACAGACCATCTATGTGACTGGTTTCCTGAATTGTCTCCTATAAAATGCCCTGGATTACGGTCACAAAATGACAGAATTAACCAGTGCAAAGAAAAATAACCCTGCATTGTACCTACCTGTAAAGACAGCCACTAAATTCTGGGGCAAATTCTCTTGCAAAGTTCAGCTTCCCTTGTAGATGGAGCAGCTTATGTGTCTTTAGTAAATAAACTCCTTTATATGTAACGTGCAATCAATTAGATTAATGTGGTTGTAAACCTCAGACATGAAACATGAACAAAGCATCTCTCTATAGGTGTACTTGTCTCAATTAAGAGCACTAAGTGTCATGTCTCTCTGCTGCCTCATTCCTGTGCTATCAGCATGAACAACTTCTGACAAGTTATCCTGACAGCAAGAGAAAAATGGTGACAGTGGAGGGACCTCCAGCAGATTGACAGCCTCAGCTCTGTTTCTTTGAGCTGTATGGAGGGGGGTGTGTCTCTTCCCTTCAATCTGCTCTCAGAGATCTCCTCACTGAGCTCTGCAGTATGTGAGTTCAGTTCTCCACCCCCTTTTTTCTGAATTCTCACACAAGCTTTATAAATTCTCCACATTGATAGGATGTAGAGAAGAGAAGACTGCAGATAAACAAGTACAACCTATATAGGAGGATTTGTTTAATCTCAATGTATTACCTAAGGCCAATCACTTCATTGGGTATATGTAAGTGTTTACAACCACTTTGTTTTCTTTAATGTGTCTTCACGCTGACCGTATGCATATATTCGGGCTGCTCGGTGGGTGGGCATTAACGCCGAGCAGCCACATGTATACGGCTCTGTTAAAACAACTTACCATGCTGAGAGTGTGCTCCCTGAATGTTACCAGCACAGTAGCCGGTGGGGACTGGTAAGCTCCCAATGCATACTTGCGATTGGGAGCTTTTCAATCATGCGACCGCCGTGACAGCCAAATGCAGCAGTCACATGACCTGAATGCCCACCCCCTGGCTTTTAGAACTCTTAAAGGGCTGAGAAGTGGTTGGCATGAAGGGGTTAACTTGCCCATACGTAATGATTTGGTTACTATAGGTTACTGTAGTTTGCACAATGCCATTGCTTCTAAAGCTGCCTAGCTGGATAAACTTGCATTTGCAGGATAGTTTTTACAACCAGTTTGTATCATTCATCAAACCCTTGTTAAACGAAGAACTATGGTTTGCAGGTGCAGCATTCATGCTGTTAATCACCAAGATGTGATTGCTGATTTGTAAGTGATATATTGTAATCAAGTAATATAATCAAAGAAAATGGCCCTAGAGTTACAGAACCAGTTCCTTTTCTTATCAATTGTGTTGCCATATGTAATCTCTGTAAAGCTGCCTAGGGATCTGAAATAGAACTGGCAATTATGGGAAATACCGCCACGTGAAAATGAGTCTCGAGAGAACTGCATGCAGGTGTGATTGTAGAGAATCTATGCTTAGCATTTCATGTCTGTTTTCATCTGCAGATACAAAGGGAAAACCTACAGAGCAACTGTGAAGATCGTCCGCACATCAGACCAAGTGTCAGATTTCTGCAGGAAAGTCTGTGCAAAACTGGAATGTTGTCCCAATTTGTTTAGTTCATTGCTGGTCGCTGATGTGTGCCCTGAAAACTGCTCCATACACACAAAAACCAAATACAGTGAGTACAACGGAATGTATAGGGAGTCACACAGTGCAGTGAATTCTAATGTAAAGAGGGGTGTTTATTCTTGGATTACTGTTTAGAATCAATTTATCATTCCCAGCTGTATAACAGGTGCAAATAACACGACAAACAATTACAGTCACGGGAAACTATTTCTTTTTTTTGACACTGGATAACTAGCTAAATCTTGTTTTCATTGAAAATACTTGCTGAGTAATATCATTGTCATTCTGGGGACATACCAGCTTTCATTAGCTATATCTGTAGTTCCTGCCATACAGTTGGGTAGGATTAGTGGTGTGGCCTAGACACAGGTTAGGCAACATAATGGGCTTTTTCAATAAACAGTGCAGGCAGCTAAGTAGTTAATGCTAAGGGTACTACCACACTGCAGCCAATCATCTCTCACTTTACTGGAGTCAGGCCAGTAAAAGATTTTTTAATATAGGGATGAATTGGTTGGGTTGCTATGGATCCTGTCCTTTGTTCTATGCTCTGCTTCCCTTAATAATACTGAAAAGTTGGTAATTTTTAAAACTAAAAGTAAAAGAGAAGTATGGCTTTGTAAAAAAAAAAATGCTCACCTAGGTGGATACAGCATCGATGGTCAGGGTCTTTCCAGAGCCTGGACCAGCTCTGCAACTTCAGTACTACTGTGATCCATAAGAGTAGTATAGCCAAAAAAATCTTTTTACATTAGCATACATATACTTCTGGGGCTAATGTAAAAAAAAACAAGCATGCTAACCATTTTACTTGCCTGGTATGCAAAAAAAACCCTGCCATTTATTATTACAGTTAAGCTAAAAAAACAGGCTGTGGGCATAGTTACAGCATGGCAGTGCAAACGTGCCCTTTCTGAGCACCAAGAATACTGAAACTTTTGCATTTACTTTCAAACAGAGATGGCTAACAAGAGAAAGGCAAAAGGACTTACTGTGTCTCATTCAGAACTAGCTGTGGACTGATACTTGTTTCCACAGCAATTCTCCATTCAGTGCCCAGTGGCACCCAGAGTACACATGAAACTGAGACCCAAGGCAGAGATCCCAATTTCCCATTAGGCAACCATTCCTAGCAGCAACATGTCACCCACTCTATCCCAGCTAAGTGATCTATTGGTAGGCCTTGTATTCTTTCCCTCCCTCTCACTTGAGCGCAGCTAGTATGAAAATGACTTGGAATACCCATATCACTTAATTAACACACATTCAAAGGCAGTGCCCACTTTCCCACCTAGCATGCAGAAATGACGGACCTCTCCACTACATCTCAGTGGCATACATTGTCACTTATATATTTTTCCAAGCCTGTTCCAATGACAAAAATCATTGGACCTGTCAGACCATGTGAAGAAGACGTGAGCTTGATTAAATTCCTTTCCATCTTGGCCAAGCTTTGACACCTTAGCTACCAGGATGAAAAGTGCCCTTCTCAAAGAGCTGGATATTAATTGAAAAAAAAAACGTGCATCACTATAAATTACCAATTAGAAATACTATGTATAAATTTAGTATGTGCAAACATCAACAAACTATAAAGTAAGTGTATTGATCCCCATAAACACATATAAAAAGTCCATCAGACACAAAAAATCCCCCAAAAAGTTATGTGAAGAGTCCCCCACCCGAAACTGCATATATCAGTGTTGTTCTTGAGCTGAAAGAAAGGAATCCTTCCAAATGAACACTCCACCAGTCGGAAAAACAAGAAAACTTCAACAAAACTTCACACTACGTAGTGTATGTAGATCCACCTTACCAAATAGTATGAGCACCAATAAGTGGATGGTCAAACACTCTCCTAATGTCATATAGGCCGGAATATCCCTGGATCTCCAAAGGAATCCCCCCATCACACCTCATCCAAAAGATGTTCCCAAAATATACAGATGGGTAGAAAACACTCTCATAGTATAGTAAATAAAATCCTCCAATTTATTTAAAACGGATTAAAAATACTCACAGAGTAAAAATACAAAATAAGCATTCTTATATATTACTGCCGTAAAAGCATCCGATCCTTTGCTCGTGCTCGGCAACAACCCACTTCTGGGTCCAGCTGACCACTCCCCATGATGATGTCTGCTATGAGGGTCAATGGAGGTGACACTATCACGTGAACCGAGACACGAAAGTAGGTATAAAATGTTTTGGGATTCTAAGTAATTTTCTAACAAAAAAATGCAAATGTCAAAATTGCCCTGGGCAGCAAGTGGTTAAAAAAGTAGGGGCACACCAGAAGCCCAACACAGTACAATAGTAGCTAAAGACCTTCAGTGTGTACCCACACCAAATCCACCTTCATCTCTCCGTAGTTTGAAGCCTATCATTGTACTGCAATTGACTTCATGCTCAGTCTTATGTGGCCTCTTCATCTGCCACCCACAGACCGCTCATCCTTCTTTCCTGCAACAAAACATGGCCATGGTCCACTTCTTAGAAGGAGTTTCTAGAAGTGTCCTAGCTTCTTCCTCCTCTATAGGAGTATTTGGTGCAGGAACTCTTGTTTTGGGTCACTAAATGCAGTAAAAGCTTGTATTCCCAGTAAGTGGTTGCAAACCAACTTTCTTACTTTGTGTCAGTGTTTCACCGATGTGAATGATATTATGTCAGTAGAAAACCTTACTCTTCCAGCCTTAGGGATAAATCAGAGGAATTCATCAAAGTTTGATATTGCTGGATCCAATTCTATCACTCTTAGGAGTATTGCAGCAATGTGTAAACTGAGGGCCATGGCAGGGTGTTCTGCTCACACCTCTTTTGCTGCCCTCCCACCCTTTTTATTGTTCCTTCTCACCTATTCCCCTTTATTCTCTTCACTTATACCTGATCTCCCCCTTTTCCTTTCCCTTTCCCTATACTTGGTGGTGGTGGTTGGCTTTGGCCCCCTCAAGTTTATCCCATTAGGTCCTTTATACCCCCCTTTCCCCAAACATATTCCTCTCCCCATTGCATCATGCTTTCATTGGTTACTGCATGCTTTGTTGTTTCCACTGTTTTTAATGTTACGGTCAATGGAAAGTAGCCTTTCAGCAGTTCCTTGTACACTTATACAACGATCACCACTGTATTGGTGCAACTACCATTACATTTAGAGGTTCACACCTAAAATCATTCCATAAAACTGTATCTTTGTACCTATTTATATGTCTTTACCAGTTTTATTTTGTTTACTACCAACATGTATTACTGTGATTCTATTATTCACCACAGATATACAGTAGGTAGACATAAGGAAATAAAGAATTAAAGAAAAATATAGGCTGAATTGCTAACTCTAGACTTTATATCTGCTGTCAAGAACACTCAGATGTATTACTGAGCTGTGTATGAACCTAGAGAGCATAATACATATTGCAAAAATTGCAGAAGTGTGTTCTGTGTCAGTAAATAGACTGTAAAGTGCTTATACATTCTGAATAGGAATTTCATGCAGGCATATGAAAGAAGGATAAACAAAAAATATGTAACTATTAGAGATGAGCGAATTATTCAAAAATTCGATTCGGCTGATTCGCCGAATTTCAGGAAGAAATTCGATTCGATCGAATTTAATACACGAAGTTAACTTATAAAAAGGGTTTCTAGGCTTCAGAGAGCCTTTAAATTAGTGCAGAACACTGTACCTTAAATTTAAATGCCCTTGGAGATGAGGAAGGAGAAGGAGAAGGATGAGAAGAAGGAGAAGGATGAGAAGAAGGAGAAGGATGAGGAGAAGGAGAAGGATGAAGAAGAAGGATGAGAAGAAGGAGAAGGAAGGAGAAGAAGAGAAGGAGAAGGAGAAAAGAAGGAGAAGGATGAGAAGATGGAGAAGGAGAAGGATGAGAAGAAGGAGAAGGATGAGAAGAAGGAGAAGGAGAAGGATGAGAAGAGAAGGAGAAGGATGAGAAGAAGGAGAAGGATGAGAAGAAGGAGAAGGATGAGAAGAAGGATGAGAAGAAGGATGAGAAGAAGGAGAAGGATGAGAAGAAGGAGAAGGATGAGAAGAAGGAGAAGGAGAAGGATGAGAAGAAGGAGAAAGGATGAGAAGAAGGATGAGAAGAAGGAGAAGGATGAGAAGAAGGAGAAGGATGAGAAGAAGGAGAAGGATGAGAAGAAGGAGAAGGAGAAGGATGAGAAGAAGGAGAAGGATGAGAAGAAGGAGAAGGAGAAGGATGAGAAGAAGGAGAAGGATGAGAAGAAGGAGAAGGATGAGAAGAAGGAGAAGGAGAAGGATGAGAAGAAGGATGAGAAGAAGGAGAAGGAGAAGGAGAAGGATGAGAAGAAGGATGAGAAGAAGGAAAGGATGAGAAGAAGAAGGATGAGAAGAAGAAGGATGAGAAGAAGGAGAAGGATGAGAAGAAGGAGAAGGATGAGAAGAAGGAGAAGGAGAAGGATGAGAAGAAGGAGAAGGATGAGAAGAAGGAGAAGGATGAGAAGAAGGATGAGAAGAAGGAGAAGGATGAGAAGGACAGTTCTGTGACAGTTTCTGTTTATTTCTGACAGTTCTGTGACATTCACTCCATACAGCGGTTTCAACCGCTGTATGGAGTGAATGTCACAGAACTGTCAGAAATAGGCTATTTCTGACAGTTCTGGGACACTCACTCCATACAGCGGTTGAAACATTGTATCTATTTGTTTCCATAAATGGATCCATTTATGGAAACAAATAGATACTTGTATCTATTTGTTTCCATAAATGGATCCATTTATGGAAACAAATAGATACAATGTTTCAACCGCTGTATGGAGTGAGTGTCCCAGAACTGTCAGAAATAGCGGAGCTCTGCAGATACACTTAGAGGAGCTCTGCAGATACACTTTTTGCCGGCTTGGAATTATTCTTATTTTCATCCTAATTCTTCTTCTTCTTCATCATCCTCATCCTCTTCTTCTTCTTCTGAGGATGAGGATGAGGATGAAGAAGAAGAAGAAGAAGAAGTAGGATGAAAATAAGATTAATCCAAGCCGGCAAAAAGTGTATCTGCAGAGCTCCTCTAAGTGTATCTGCAGAGCTCCTCTAAGTGTATCTGCAGAATAGAGGAGCTCTGCAGATACACTGAATAGAGGAGCTCTGCAGATACACTTTTTGCCGGCTTGGAATTATTCTTATTTTCATCCTACTTCTTCTTCAATTCTTCTTATTTTCATCCTACTTCTTCTTCTTCTTCATCCTCATCCTCTTCTTCTTCTGAGGATGAGGATGAGGATGATGAAGAAGAAGAAGAAGAAGAAGAAGTAGGATGAAAATAAGAATTCCAAAAGCCGACAAAAAGTGTATCTGCAGAGCTCCTCTAAGTGTATCTGCAGAGCTCCTCTAAGTGTATCTGCAGAATAGAGCTCTCTGCAGATACACTTTTTGCCGGCTTGGAATTATTCTTATTTTCATCCTACTTCTTCTTCATCCTCATCCTCAGAAGAAGAAGAAGAAGAGGATGAGGATGAGGATGAAGAAAGAAAGAAGAAGAAGTAGGATGAAAATAAGAATAATTCCAAGCCGGCAAAAAGTGTATCTGCAGAGCTCCTCTATTCTGCAGATACACTTAGAGGAGCTCTGCAGATACACTTTTTGCCGGCTTGGAATTATTCTTATTTTCATCACTTCTTCTTCTTCTTCTTCATCCTCATCCTCTTCTTCTTCATCTTCTGAGGATGAGGATGAGGATGAGATGAAGAAGAAGAAGTAGGATGAAAATAAGAATAATTCCAAGCCGGCAAAAAGTGTATCTGCGCTCTCTGCAGGGACACTTTTGCCGGCTGATCGGGAAAAATCCGATTCGCGCACCCGAAGTAGGCAAATATTCGGATTCGACGCGAATCGAATTTTTCCTGAAATTCGTATCGAATTCCGGTTCGCCTGGTTCGATTCGCTCATCTCTAGTAACTATGTTTGGTTGGTCTGTTAAGTAGCAGCTTTGTTTACTTCTCTTTATAAGTCATAGTTCAGCTTCAAGAAGCTTTGACTTGAATAACATTTGCAGAATTATTATTATTTTTGGATTTATATAGCAGCAACAGTTTGCTCAGCGCTTTACAAAATAAAGGGAGACAATACAGCAATGATACAGTTCAATACAAGAGGGCCCTGCTCCTTGTAGCTTACAATCTAAGAGGTAGGAGCTGGTGGTACAAAAGGTAATAACTGTGGGGGATGGACTGGTAGGAAGAATAGAAGCTTCCGTTATTAGCTGAAGGCAGGATAGGCTTCCCTGAATAAATAGGTTTTCCAAGATCGCCTAAAAGTGAGCAGAGTAGGCGACAGTCGGATATATTGGGGTAAAGAGTTCCAAAGGATGGGGGAGGCTCTGGAGAAGTCCTGGAGATGAGCATGGGAAGAGGAGACAAGAAAGCTAGAGAGAGCAGGAGGTCTTGGGAGGAGTGGAGAGTACAGTTTGGGTGATATTTGGAGACAAGATTGATGATGTAATTTGGGGCAGAGTTATAAATGGTTTCATATGTTAATGTTAATGTTTTGAATTTTATTCCTTGGGCAATGGGAAGCCAGTGGAGGGATTGGCAGAGAGGGATGGCAGATATGGAATGGTTAGTAAGGTGGATGAGTCTGGCAGCAGCATTCATAGAAGAAAGTAAAAACCCAGTAAAATGCCCATAGTGACCAGTCAGATTTTCTGTCCATTTTGCCATTATTATTATTATTATTATTACTACGAGTTTATATAGCGCCAAAGGGTTTGCTCAGCGCTGTACAATAGGGGGGACAATACATACATGGCACAGTACAACAATAACAAACAACGTACGAGGGGTAAGAGGGCCCTACTCTTACGAGCTTACAATCTAGGAGGGAGGGGGTAGTGGTAAAAGTTAAGTGACTGTGGGAAACACATCTGTTTTTGTTCCCCATTTTCTTCCCTCTCCTAAAGCTGTTACAAATTGTTAATCTGGCTTTCTCAAAAGTACAAGTCAAAATAAATTGATGCCAGGAAAAAGATCATTAACAAAAAGTACTAGTTCTCCTTTGACCTGCAGCTACCGTTTGTAGTGCGCTAATATGAAATATGAAGTTGTTAATTTAAAAATGTAAATTGGTTTTTAACTTTTTTCCATGTAATAATGTGGTAGTCAGTGGGTGTTTGCTGAAGGAAAAATTCTTTGCAAGCCTATGCACTGCAATGTAATTTATTTTATGGCATATTTTTAAAATATTGCCCTTGATATTTGAATCATGAACTGTGTTATGCATTTGTTTTAGCATCTGTTCTTTTTGTAAAGGTAGCACAGTGCTCAGATACCATCAGTACCCTTTTTTACATTGTATTAAATTTGAAAACAGAGTTTCAGGAGAGCAGCTAAATACATTGGAATGGAATACAACTGGAATATAAATTTTTATGCTGCCAAATGATTTGTTATTTTGTTTCAGCCAGTCTTGTAATTAAGACCCTCATACCAAACAGAACAGCCAGGTTCACCTCCACTGCAGTAACAGCATAGTTTGTGGAGGTCCACATCCCTTTATTGTTGACTGTATTATAAATAAGCAGGGGCACAATGATGAGGTTATCCGTCTTACTCTGCTCCCTCATCCTTATAACATGTTCACTGCTCCACAAAAGGCTGATAACAGGACAAATTATGATGCAGTCATTAGAACTGTAACCACACATAACCAGATTTAATTGGTGTGTTTTATATCCCAGATGAGCTGTATTAATCAATTACATGTTATTTATTTTATATCCATCTCACTTTAAACCCTTTTTATTGTTACCTAGCTTATTATTATGGAAAACGGAAAAAAATATCTAAACTACCAGTCGGACAACCCAGTTTAGATGACAATCAAACCAAACCAGTAAGGCGAAGAAAGAGAAGGAAATCAATTTTTGTGCAGAAAAAGAGACGCACTTCTGTAGTTGATGTCAGTCCTGTTGGGTCAGCTGAGGTATGAATTATGAATAAAACCATGCATTCTGAGTTACTTTGGTCCAAAAGTAAATTGAATGTATCTGCTATAATTTTCTAATATACTGTGCTCTCTAGAGTACAGGCATACCTCGGTTTATGAATTTAATTTGTTCTGCGGGACTTTTCGTATAGCAAAAAATTTGTAAACCGAAACGTCATTTCCCATAGGAATGCATTGAAAATCAATTAATCCATTCCTGAGGTCAGAAAAAAGTAAATGCTGCTAAAATACCGTATGAGTTATCTTATCAAGTTATGTGGTATTTTAGTAGTGACAACCATGTGTTAATGTTTCAGCTGTCAGCGGGGTCCCCACTAACAGTTGAATGTAAAAGAATTGCCGGCAATTAAAAAAATAAATAAACGGCGTGAGGTCCCCCCTCGTATCCATACCAAGCCCTTCGGGTGTGATATGGATTTTGAGGGGAACTCCCACGACAAAATTGAAAAGAAAAAAATGTGTGGGGGTCTCCCCCAAAATCCATACCAGACCCTTATCCAAGCATGCAGCCCGGCAGGTCAGGAAAGGGGGGGACAAGCGAGCGCCCCCCTCCCTCCTGAACCATACCAGACCACATTATGCCCTCAACATGGGGGGGTGCTTTGGGGAAGGGGAGCTCCCCCCAAAGCACCTTGTCCCCAAGTTGATGGGAACAAGGGCCTCTTCCCCACAACCCTGGCCGGTGGTTGTAGGGGTCTGTGGGCAGGGGGCTTATCAGAATCTGGAAGCCCCCTTTAACAAGGGGGCCCCCAGATCCCGGCACCCCCCCCTATGTGAATGAGTATGGGGTAAATGGTCTTGATACTCATTCACAAAAAACAAAGTGTAGTGTGAAAAAAACGTGTCCCCCCCCCCCTTTCCTGACCTGCCGGGCTGAATGCTCGGATAAGAGTCTGGTATGTTTTTTTTTAAATTTTGGTGTGGGAGTTACCCTCAAAATCCATACCAGACCCGAAGGCCTTGGTATGGATGGGAGGGGGGACCCCACACTGTTTTTTTTATTTATTATGGTGCTGATTTGTAAATGTAAGTACTGCTTTTTTTTTTTTCTTCACTATAGCTCAGAGATTCAGCTGTCACTTTCCTTTTTTTTACTTTTTGAAATATTATTTCCCAAAATTAAAAGAAACAGTGTTTCCTTTTAGTTTCTTAAAAGAAACAAAGCGTACTTTAACTCTGGGGAAAGTTACAGTTAATTCTCTGAGCAATTGCATTTAAAAAAAAATCAGCACCGACATGCACTTCGTATTGCGAAACAAATTCGTAAAAAATTTGTAAACCAAGATATTATTTTCAATGTATTTTCATTCGTAAACTGAAACTTACGTTAACCGAGACGTTTGTAAACCAAGGTACACCTGTAATTAGATTTTTTTGGTAGATTGCATAGTACCATTTTTTATCATAAACAATAACACCATCCAAGAAGTGATCTTTAAAATTTAGATGTAGATGATTCTTGTATCTCCATAAAGCAGATACTGTATCTCTGTAACAGTGTTTTTGTTCTGTTCATGACTACTTTAGAGTTTGGGCTCTTTCTGCTACCCTTTGGGTATTTCTACTGCTCTTGTTGCATGCTCCATAATATCTAATACAATTCGACTAACTCATGTGCAGGGCCCATCGCAGTAGAGTCTGTTAGAGCTAAAATTATTATTACCTATAAATTATTAGGTGGTTTGGCTTTCAACAGCTAGTATATATGGAGGTATCAAGTCTGTGTAGACTATGAACTAAGCAGGCAAATTATCTGGCAAATGACAATTTTTCAAATAACCACCATGCACCTAAATTGTCCATAAATTAACACCTTTATCAACACATTTAATTAAATGGAGGTCATGCAGTGTGAAAAAATTGGTAGATATTTTCTCTAGCATTATTAGACAGGGACACTTGTTCTGACTACCCAACCATGACCTAATTATAGTGAAAGATATTATTTTTATCACAAGGGATGCATGATTGCATATTGTACAGACATACTCAGAAGGTCACTTCATTAAACACTGCACTGACAATATATAGGTGGGCAATAAATATGAGATTTTCCCTGACTTGGATTCTCTACTGCTTTTTGTAATTACAGTCCTTCAGCATTGCTGATAGAGAAAAACTGCTGAGATAAAATTTCAGTAGAAAAAAAAAAGAAGAATGCCCAGACATGCCAAACAGTATTGTATTGCTTGCATGTGATTGGATGGAAGTCAGCAGAGCTTCACTCAATGCACAAAACTATAGGGAAATTTCCCTTGGAAAATGCAATTTCTCTTACAAAGTGAAACATCAATTTGCTTTAGTAAATCAACCCCACTGTGTAGACTACTAAGCAGGGAGCAGGAGTCTTCATATGTAATGAACAAATGTGGTTGTCCCAAACAGACATAGAATGAGAAACTACACACAGAAACTGGGTTTTAAAAGCCTTATTTTCAAGACTATTTACTTTAATCTGCTCCCTGTCATATGTACATCCAAACAAATTTTACAGAAACATATCTTGACTTCCCTTACATATAAGCCTACTGAAGTTACCAGGCTTTGCGATGCAAATCCATGTTGCTATCACTACTAATTTAAGAAATATTTCTTTCTAGAATGATTTCAACCATCATTAAGCTAGCCTTTCCCAGCTAAGAACCCTAGGGTTTGTCCTGAGGCTGCTAGGGGTTCCTTGAGCAATGAGCAATTTCTGCCTCTTAGAATAGTCATTTTAAGCAGGGGTTCCTTGAGATCAGAGCAATATTACAAGGATTCCTCCATATTAAACAAGTCGAGAAAGGCTGCAATAAACAGTTATATTTATCAGGTTCATATAGGCAGCTGCTATATACACATCTTACTTTTAAAATATAGGCAGATAGGCCTCCCCTAATTGAAATAATGATTTTAAATATTATAAAGTCCTTTACACTTTAAACTGTACTGTCCTCTATTGTTTTTTTTTTCTAACTCATAATGAACTATGTAATATGTTTAACAGGAGAGTATTGAAGATGATGGAGTAGAAGATGAAACGGGAAGTGAGGAAACAAGTTCTGAATTACGTGACGATCACACAGATACTTCTTCTGTTGAAGTTCCCTCTGTACGTCCACGAAGAGCTGTAACTCTTAGGAAGAGCGTTGGGTATGAAAGGCCACCATTGGTAGAGAGAGCCAGAAGAGTTAGGAAAACACGTTCCCTGTCTTACACTGAAGAAGACAAGGCTGCAAATGTGAAGAAAGTAAGAATGATTTCTTTTAGTATATGGTACAATTTAGTAGGGATATGTGTTATGGCTTTATTGGCACAGCAATTTAATAAGTGAAGAACTCAAGAGTGAGTAGAAATATTTTTGGAGATGTTTCTGGAAATTAACATATGCAGACCAGATTAGCCCATTTTAGACCTTATTTTCAAGTCATGTGTACATGGCAAAGCTCCCCCATTGCAAGTTCCAAATCCATTTAGATATTGTACAGGCATAAAGAAAAATTGCCTTACAACTTATTGATATTTGTGCTTAGATTGTAAGACTGCTTTTAGTTTTCCCAGCACAATTCAGAAATACAGCTAAATTGCTTTACAGATAATCTGATAGATTTGGCTAAAACTATGTGTAACCAAATCTTTTAAAAAATGTAAACACATTCTCAGTTTTTATTTGTACCGCAGAAATAGAGCTCAAATGTTAGACATCATAGCTGTTGGATTTGTCTATAAACGTGTATAATCAAATATTGTAAAGATTGTAGGAATGATCCAAGTATTCCTCACACAATGTAGAAAGTCAGTTTCTTGACGTCTAACCTGTTACATTTGGCCATAAACATGTATAGCTAAATGATATTGAACTACTTGGAGACCAAGCCATTTTTGGTTGTACTTTTTTTTAAGTATGGCAAGACACAACAAAAGCACAGTTTGTTTAATTTTTCTGGGTTTTAAGGCAACAAGGAAGAAATAAATATTTTCAAAACAGTAATTTCCATGATATGTTGCTCTTTGTTCACACAGGAGAAGAAGCAGGAGGAGGAGGAATGTTTAATACTGGAGAGTAATCCTTTGGAGTGGACAGTAACTGATGTGGTCAAGTTTATAAAGTCTACAGACTGCGCTGCATTAGCAAAAATTTTTCAAGAACAGGTACATCAATCACTTCTGTGGATAAAATATTATAACATTCCGATAACAGGAGCATTGTATTCTCAAAGTGGGTCGACCCACTTGAGTTTGATGGCCTATGTCGACTGAGTTTGGGCTTCTGTCAATGGCATTGGTTTGACATCAGTTTGAGATGCTTGTGAGATTATTCAGAATTTATAGGTGTATTTGACCTGCAGTTGACCCCTTTTGACCTGTATTTAACCTGCTGCAAGCAGATTATGCATTCCCTTAGACTTGCATGGAAATTCAGAATGCTCTTGAAGCATAAAAAAGCCAATTGACACAGGCTCTTAATTAATAACTTTCATCAGCCATTCATTAACCCAAACATCACATACCTTTATGGCATTTCATAGTGTAAGAAACCAGTAACCAGTCTCACAACCTCCCAATTAATGTTCTGTCAATAAGAGGACATAGGGTTGATTTACTAAAACTGGAAACTGCAAAATCTGGTGCAGCTCTGCATAGAAACCAATCAGCTTCTAGGATTTTTTGTCAAAGCTTAATTGAACAAGCTGGAGTCAGAAGTTGATTGGCTACCATGCACCATATTTTGCCCTCTACAGTTTTAGTAAATCAACCCTATACTGCTTTACCTACACAAATCAGTGAGAAATACTTATCTATAGTAGTAGGAGGTAAGATGACTTCCCAGATCACTAAGGAGGAAGATTTGCTATGAAAGACCTATCATTTAGTGATTGAACTCTAAGTACACTCTAAGCTAATATATCACTCTTTGCTATACACTGTTAGGTGATCTTTTTATACTTGAACCTGAAGAGACAATTACACAAATACAATTACTTATATTGCTGTGCTTACTTAGCATATAGGATTATCACAAGGTTTTTCTTTTAGTTTAAGCAAAGAAAAGCTGACACACAGTGTATACTGCAATGTTGTGTTTATTGGCGGGTAACAGATGAGAGCTACAAATGTCAATGTGTTTCAGCAGAACTGGCCTTATTCATTACTTTTCTTTTAGTTTATCCACAATGACATGGAATTTGGGTTTTAGAAAAGGAAACAGAAAAACAGAGAGAGAAATAAAAATATGAGTGATTCCAATAAGCTTTTGTGTAACTGGCAGAATGTTTTTTTAATTATTCATTGTTATTCATTATTATTATAATTATTGTTAAATTATTTGTAGTAACCATTGTTGATGACAAAGCCTCAGCTTTAGTTTTTCATGGTTCAGCTTACTTAGTTTTTGTAAGGTGTTGTTGGAGGCATAGCTTCTAAGACTTGACCTAGGACCACAATTTTCTTGTATATTTAAAAAAAAAACTGAAAGTTTAAAAAGTATAGATATCCCATGCATAGCTCTAGTAAAGTGTTTAACTTTTATATAAAACACATACTGTAAGTCTTAAGATTACACCTTTTAAATAAAAGGTGTGGACCACACCTTGCTGAAATCCCTAAACATTTGTTTTCTTTTCACTTGCAGGACATTGATGGACAAGCTCTGTTATTGCTGACTCTTCCCACTGTCCAAGAATGCATGGAGCTGAAACTGGGCCCAGCTATTAAACTGTGTCATCAAATAGAAAGAGTAAAAGTGGCATTCTATGCACAATATGCTAAATAAATCCTATGTTCTGTTTTGCTGTACCCAATTCATATAAATGTTCAGGTAAAAGCATGTGTTTTTACAAGGGCAAATCAAAATGATTAAAACTGGTTCCTACTTTTCACAGAGACACATTTATAAACATTGCTGCCACCTTTCGAAATAGCTTTGATCAGTCTTTGCTAGAGGAAAAAAAAACTTTCTATCCCATGTAAGTTTCTAATGAATTTTTTTTTATTTTTGACTTTTTGCCTGGGTTTGGATAAAAAGGCAAATATTTTGGCACTTCTAACCTTTTAGCAAACTTTGTAATCTTTCATATTGAAAGTGTGTGGTCATTTTTACTGTGATCTGTGGCTTAACATGAAAGCTTCAATATAGCAGCCCCTTTTTATTGTCCTTGTCATTTTAATACCAATCAGTAAAAAAACATAAAGCCTCTCTCTGTTGGAGAGGTCCATATTTCACTGTGGAGTAATAAATTGTAGGAGGCTTCGCTTGCAGTTAAAATGCCACTAAGCTGTAAACTTAGACAGTGTGTACATAGTTAGCCAAGTGATTGAAGGATGTGCCAACATCAGACATAAGAATGGGACCACAGTACAGACAGTTGTTATTGCTACTGCTCTCATTGCAATAGTTCATTGTGACAAATAGGAGCCCTTTTAGAAAATAAACAGCCATTATTTCCAGCCTTGACATAATTTTGTTTTCTGCCTGATAACACAGACCCATGCCAAGTGTCAATTTAGTTTCATATTTTTCTATAGTGCCACGTCCATTGCCTTCTGAGCTCTGGGTATTTGTGTCAGTACTCTGGTCTATAAATAGATGCTTAAACTCACAAAACATTTGTTTTATTTTATTTTAAATCATGTTTTTCATGTTTTGATATACTATTTAGCAGGAGAGAATAGTTAAATTTGAGCGATTTGACATTTCTATATAATACTGGAAAATAGTTACATTGCGCTGTGCACTGAAGACTGCACAGACTGTAGAGACCAAATATATTTTTCATGCATGTGTATACTCCAGATGGGAATAATCTGCTTTGTTTCTTAAGGGTTTCAGTGAAAATGTGCTAAATGCTTTAATTAAAAGGCACAAGATTTCAGCAGCTACAGATCCATTTGTTTGATGTAACAAAAACAAAAAAAATATTCCTTCAACTGTACAAACTAAACTTTATTCATCAAGTGTAAAGCCTGAAGGTTTGGTAAAAAGGTACATTTAGCTCTAATCTAGCCACACACAGATATATTGTGGCCTGGTTTATCTATTTTAGATCTATTTTAGATGAAATTAGTAGTGACTTCAACCACTAAGATGTCCAAAAGTGGTTATAATAAAGCCATCAATAATGGCTTGATGTGCTGACTTCGTAGTTCTGCCTGAATGTAGTCACTCATTGGCGTGGTCACCTTTAAACTGAGAGGGAATCACCTCCACCATTTCTTCTTGATTATATTTTAATTTCCTGGGGCTTCTTTGCAGTGTGTTTGGTGCGTCCTTCTGTGTACAATGTGCAGGAGATACATTTATGAATTATGGTTCTCTGTGCACATACACACCATCTGGTCTTTTTTTTTCTTTTATAACAAGAACATGATGAAGAGAATCAGTAAGGGAGGGGGTGATGGCCATGTGAATACATATCCTAAAATGCTTTGCTTTTTTGCTTTGGTTATATTGTTAGATTATACAGCTTCTGGGTAGAAGAGTGATATAATAAATAGCTTAAAAAATATGTTTTGTTGTATTTTGGAATATACTTGTATTAAGGCATCTGGAATGCCATCAAGAGTCTTATTAGGCTGACCAATGATTTCTGTTCCTTCTTCTGTTACAATAATGAAAACACAATATTTTAAGTTGTCCCGTTCTCTAAAAAAAAAAGCAAAAAAAAAAAAAGCTTAATCTGTGTTTTAGAGCTGTCAATACAATCATGCACTATAATGCAATGCAGGCTTGTTATTTTCATGTGGTGACAGTTTTGTTAAATGCCTTATTGATTACTCTATTTTGTTTAATAGAAGGGAAATAGCTATATGTGTTCCAGTGTTTACCATACATTTTACAGAAATATTGCCTGTCATTCTTTATAATCTCATTATGTTGCTTAACTGTGGAGGCTTGACCATTGCTATCTGAAATGAAGCAAAGCTTAGATCTGTGCTAAGAAAAGCAATGCATTTATAAATCTAAGAAACCATTTTGAATAAAAAAAAACCTTGTAAAATAACAGTTGATATATGTGTATGGGGGTGAACCCAGCTGCTAAATTAATTTAAAAAGCAGTTTAAATGAGGGAAACAGAAATTGAGAAATCACAAAAAAAAATGAAAAGCAAGGGAGTAACTATAGCCTAAGCAGACTATGCAACTGCTATGGGTCCCATAAACACAATTAATCCAGACCTGTATAGTTACACATTGATGTAAGTAAAAATACTATTTGGCTACTACATTTTGGATAACATAAATGATTATATAATTTTGAAAAGCTCTAAAAAATGAGTAATTAGTATTCTGAATCAATTAAGAATTTGCCTTTTTAATGGGGGAGATTGGGTAAACAGGGGAAGGGTCTCAATGAGCTTGCTATGGGGCCCAATTATGCAAAGTTATTGTCTTGCAAGTGTAGACAAATTTAAGGTAAACCTTGATCCCAGATGAATTGACTTATTTGTATTTTAATTTAGTGGTTCTGAAAAGTTATAGGAAATCTATAGGCAAATTATTTTTTTTTAACTTGTTATTTTATGCTTTACATATCTAGCTGTAACCATTTTTATTCCCTTTAAGATAGACTTGCAAACACATTTTAGAGTTCATATACTAAAAGAGTACCCAGTGAAGTCGTTTTCACTTCAGCCATCCAATCAAATGCTATTCAAGTTCCAGATTTTCAAAAATCTCTCTGCAAATGGGTGTGTAATGTAAACACAGGTTTTACTTGGCTTAGTGAAAACTGTTTATTAAATCATCCCCTCTCTACATTAATCAGAGGAGCTTAGCAAAAACAGTTGTGTCTCATTACTTATAATCCTCTTCTTAAATTATAAAAGTAAGTTGCAGTTTCAAAGAACTATCAGCATGTGTCAATTTGCTCATACGGCATCCATATTTTATGAGTTTGAAATGAGGCAAACATTCTTAATAGTTACTATGAGCAACAAGTAGCACTTCTGATGTCTCACTAAAGTAATTTAGTTTTACCCATATATATCTTCATTGATAGTACTTACAGTTTATGTAATTCCAGCTGCAAAGACACTTGTTTTTTACAATAACACAAGTTTATAACAACTGTATATTAATCTACATCCCTGAAATTTATCTGCATGAAAAGTAAATGGGCAGCTAAAGCATAAGTGTAAATATATATATATATATATATATATATATATATATATATCCTCTTTGGAATGTTGATATATGTCAATATTGCAAAACCATTTTTTATGATAAATGCACACCACAAATCACAGTATACAATAACTTTGGGAACAAGAGTATCACCAACATTCTCAGATAAATTTGAGTGTGATCAGTTACATTGATCTCAACAGATTTAGAAATGATGCCCCAAGTCATTAGGCCATATATGGAACAATGTCAAGTGTATTATTCCTGTTCCATCAACAACTTGAGATATATCACAGTTTGTGCAAAGGTATGCATTTATTTTTATGATTCAGATCAGGAGACAGATATCCTATGTTTATGAGCACTTTTACTTCCAAGTTGCCTAATTACAAAGAATATTTCAACTTACAAAAAAATAAAACACCTTGAGAGCCGTATAATGCTTTTACAGTTCTAAAATTGTACACAAGCAAAAATCTTTCTAGATTAACAATGGGGGCATTATTTGCTCCATACTGCACTGACATTTGGAAACTTGGCTTCAGGAACTGAGCATAAATTTTCTTACTACACAAACCGGACACTAGTATTCACTTCATGAGCTGTTTTTTTCCATTTCATTTTGAAAGGGCTGCATTCTGTAAAAGGGCACCAGCTCTAAAACCTCCTCTCGTATTTTTAACACTGTGTAATCATAGTTACTGCTGCATCGCAGCAATTAGCTGAACAAAGAATATTTAGAATAGGTACCCAGGTGTTAAATTATGAAATGATGACTTGAAGGATCTTGTAAGGCAGCACATATATATATATATATATATATATATATATATATATATATATGGGATGATGTATTCACACTTTAAATTAAAAGGATATTATAAATTACTGACGGGTCTGTTATTTTAAAAAAAAAAAAGCACAAGAGTGCTTTTGTAAAAGGCTTAGGAATCCGAGGTAACTTCAAATATTCTTGCAAGCTGGGGATTAGGTATGTTATTTTTACATGTCATAAGTACTCCCAAGGAATACTGAAGTGATGACATAAGCAAGAACCATACAAAGATGTCATTCGCAGGAGTTTGTAAATGTAGTTAATGCAACTTTTGTGTTATAAAGAAACAGTCTGATATCTAAGCTCTTTACCATTCCAGCAGTTTGTAAAACTTGTTTATTAGAACTTTCTCTTTCATCTTTTTTCCTTTGGGCAAGGGCATGCTGTTGTTTTCTGTAATATTGCATTATGTATATAGGTTTTCTCATGTATATAAGTAAAAATCTATTTACAGAGTTTATTTTAATTTGTATTAAAATGTCAACCCTTTCTACTTGAAAAAACTTGTAAACCACCATGTTAATAAAGTCCTATTATTTAAGCAAGCAATTGTTTTTTTTTTTTTTCTAGCAGAATTTGTGGCTTTTTTGTATATGATTTAATGAGATTCTGAAATTCTACTGTAAAGATTCTATGTGTAAAGTATTAATAGGATAATATAAATGCTATTAATAACCAGGTATTTTATCCACTTTAGGCCCATCTTATAGCACTTTTACTGCTACAGGGCAGGCCTCCTCTGCAAAATCACATATAAATACGTGATCTGTGAATTCAGGCAAACGGATCTTCACCAACACCCGCAGATCACT